TGCTACTATTCTCACTTTTCTGTGCGTGAAGAAAAATAAAATTGGTATAGCAAGCTCGGTGACGTTTGTAGCAACGGTGGATAATCGAAGGAACCACGTTGGCAGATGATGCGCGTACCATGCTAGAGGAGTTGGTATACATTGCGATTAAAAATGGACATTTAGAGCTGTAAAACAAAAAAAAATAACAAATATATCATATCATAACTAACGTATATACATCATACATATTAGATAGCGCTCGCTGCTTACGTGCTCTTAGCTAAGCAGAGGTTCGGCAAAACGCAGCCATTTGGTTAAGCAATTAGGTTGATATAGGATTCCTTGAATGCTCTATCAAATTGCCAGGGTGCTTGAGCATTGCCAGTAGGTGACACAAAGTATTCTTTTAGGTAATTGCGTAAGCCCAAAGAAAGAGCTCCAGCTCTATTAGGTCCTACTCTTGATAATTGTTTAAAGTATTCTCCAACCCCTATACCATGCCAGCGATCTTCAAAACTTCTTCCTTCATCAGTCTCCACATAAAGATGTTCAAGCTGACAATATCGGCCATTATTATTGGTGCTCATGGCAAAATTATGTAAGCAAACAAGTGCTTTAAAAATATGTTCTGCATTCTCTACTGAGCAACTCAGGTTTCTATGCAGGATCCTCCAACGAGAGGCAAGAATGCCAAAAGTGTTTTCTATGCACAACCGTGCTCGACTTAACCGGTAGTTGAATATTCGCTCCTCATCTGTCATCCTCTTCACTCTCCTTGGGAAAGGACGCATTAAATATGGCTTTAAAGGGAACGCCTCATCAGCCACTATAACATGAGGAAATGGAATATCTCTTTCTGGCAAAGGCGTAGATTCTGGTAAATCTGCTGCATTGCTTTCTAAGTCAGCAGCCAAGTTTGTCTGACTCCATACGCCACCATCACTTATAGAACCTACAAAGGAATCATTCTTGTTATTAACTAGGATATTATACCTTATGTATATAAATTTATGGATACAATATATATTTACCATATTGACCAATATCAACCCATG